AAAAAAAAAGATGAGGCCAGGGATTTAGCTCAGTGGTTCCAGCACCTGCCATGCAAGCACAAGGTCCCGAGTTTGATCCCTGGTACCAAAAAAAAAAAAAGTAAGATGAGTTTTATATGTGTCTTATACTCATTTGTACTTTCTTCTTTACTTAAACAGGCATTATTTTATTATTTAGAAGAAAAATATAAAAAGCTTTTAAGAATTCCCATTACTAACTGCATGAAATGCGGACCCTTCCAGGCTGGCAGAGCTCTTCACGCTCTGGCTGCACTGTGTTTGTCTATTTGTGTTTGTCTTTTGTCCAAAGTGACTGAGCGCATGGCTGCGTGTCACCTGTACGGACCTGCACATGTATGGCTCTCTGCCTCGCACATCTGTGTCCGCGTGAACATGCGCTGCCAAACACCTCTGCTCTTGGTCCTGTCTCGAGGGCACTTACTCTGCCTACCTGAAAGTGCGCAGTCTCATTAAGATTCTCGGTTTCCTGACATCTCTGCTGCCTCTGAGTTCACACCACCAACCCTTATGCTCTACGACTGAGAGTCACATTTCTCAGTTCTCTTTGGTCTTCAATCACTACTTCTGTGGTTCCCATGGTGCCCGTCAGGAAATCTCTGACTTTTTCCTCCTGATTCTTACTTATTTTCTCCCTTAAAATTTCCATCACAGAAAAGTTGAAGTAATGGTACAGTGGGTTCTTGCATACCTTTCACGTAGATTCACCAGTTGTTAATATTTTGCCACATCCTCCTCTTCTGTGTGTACGCCTGTGTACGTGTGAACTTTTGTATCTTTTTCCCCCTGAACTGTTAGTCATTTGAAGGTAAGTTGCAAACATGACACTGCTCCTCAATACTTCAGCATGTATTGTTTAAGGATGTTTTTTGGATTAAGGCCAAACTACTATGACAGTCGAGAAGTTTAACATGAGTTACAAATATATTATCTGATATCTAGTCCATAGTCATTGAACTGTCATGTCTCGGGCTGGGCATTTTGCTCAGTGGTTCTGCCGCCTGCATTGCAAGCGTAAGGTCCCAAGTTTTATTCCTGGTACCCGCCCCCCCAAAAACCCCAAAGTGGCAACATAACTGTTATTTTTTTTGGTGTTCTTTTATTTAGAATAGTTCCTCTGCTTTTCATTCTTTTTTTTTTTTTTTTGTACTGGGGATCGAACTTGGGTCCTTTGCGAGGCAGGTGGTGGAACCACTGAGCTAAATCTCTGGCCCTCCTCTGTTTTTTTCTTTCATGACATTGACATTTGTGGAGTCCAGTTTGTTTATATAATGTTTCACAATACGAATTTGACTTTTTTTCCTTATAGTTAAATGAGGGTTAGGTTTTTTGTTTTTGTTTTTGGCAAGAATGCTGAGATATAAAGTAACTTCCTCCCTTAATAATTGAATAATCTGGGATTGTTTTGAGAGATTATATACATATTCTGTGTACCCTATAAAGTTTGATTTAGTGGTTTTGGCATTTCATTTTTCCTTTAAAAAGTATCATTCTACTGGGCATGGTGGTACATGCCTGTAATCCCAGCACTTGGGAGGCTGAGGCAGGAGGGAGGATTGCTCTGAGTTCGAGGCCAGCCTGGGGTACATAGCAAGACCCTGTCTCAAAAACTAAAAAAAAAAAAAAAAAGGGCCAGGGAAGCGCAAGGTCCAGAGTTCAATCCCTGGTAAAAAAAAAAAAAAAGTATCATTCTACAGGGTCTTCCTCATCCACCCATGTCCAGAATAGCCCGTTCTTCCATTCCAGTGTGAAAAATAAATGATTGAGTAGGAAGAGAAGTAATCCACCTAGTGTTAGCATCTTATTTTCCTAATGAGCATTAAGTGTTTGCCCAAGAGCAGTTGTACAGTCAGTGACAAAATCAGTATCAGAACTTGGGTCTCCTGATTCTGAATTCAGCGCTATTTCCAGCTACAAAACAAGTATGGTATTAACTCAAATAGAGGGTAACTTTCCGTAGGTCCGTGTGTGTGTGTGTGTGCGCGTGCGTGTGTGCATGCGTGTGTGTGTGTGTGTGTGTGTGTGTTGTGCATTTGGTGCGCATTTGCTGGCCCCACGACTGTGGAGCTCTGTGCTGTTGTCCCCCCCCCCCACTGGGGGTCAGTCCAGGCCTCATGGGTGCTCGGCCAGCTTCTGAGCTGCTCCCTGCCCTTCTTGCCTTTATTGTGTGTTGTCCCTTGGGCTGCTTACCTTCTTCCTTCTCTTCTGTTTTCCCAGGCGTCCCATGGCCGAGGTCTCAGAGGTGGCCTTTACCCACCTACCTTCAGGCACCCTCTTGTGTGACCCATCCCTGTGGGGTCAGTGTGGGCAGTGGTGATCCATGGAGCTGGCTTCTTCTGGATGCCAGCCAGCTCACTGAGGTCGGGGATTTTGTTTGGTTCACCCCTGGGCTCTGTCACTGAACCATTTCGACTCTGGCACTGCACGAGACCCTGTGGGAAGTGCAGAGCTAGTCTGCCTGGTGCAGGACCTTGAGGAATGTGGGGAAGTCCCAGGGGTGGTTTTGAAAGGAGAGAATGAGTGAGTGGTTGCTGTAGGGAATATATGAAGTGCTTTAGCAGTGAGAGAGAGGGCAGAGGTGATGTTAGGGCACTCTCGAAGGAGGCCCAAGGGCTGGGAGGGAATAATACTGGGAAAGGCACAGAGTCAGAAAAGCTGTGTTTGGGAGAATTTTGAGTAGGTGATCTGCCTGGATCTTGGGAGCCTTTGTTCTGTGTTTAATGTATCTATTGACTATTCTTTGTATCTATGGATCCCTGCTCTAGGCCTTCCATTTGCTTTTAGGGGTACCTAAAGGATTTTGTGGTACTAAATGAACATCTCTGTTGACAGAAATGGCTCTCCTAGGGGCAGTTTCTACTGTGGAGGACTTTTTCTTTTTTTAGTACTGGGGATTGAACTTGGGTCCTTGCGCTTTCGAGGCAGGTGCCGGAACCACTAAGCTACATCTCCAGCCCCTACTATGGGGGACTTTTGAAGGCACTTGTGGTCACTGTTGTTTTACCCAGTGTTGGGTTTTTGGGGCAGCGCCTGTGTTGGGTGGGCTCAGCCTCAGGGGAAGTACATTAATAATGAAACACCCATAAGGCATTGCTGCTTCCGTTCTGAACCCTCGTGTTTTCTGTGGCCTGCAGGAGTTACTTAGCTACTCTGATTTATACCCAGGATAGGACTCGAAGCACCACTGAGGGAAGACTGGAAACCTTGACATGGGGCTTACTTTCCAGCGGTTTCCTTTACACATCGGGGGGAGATCTCACAGCATGCTAATGGAAGGTCAGACTTGGAGGGAAAAGTACTGTCTTCTGACAAAGAATTAAGCACTTGCCATATTTAATAGATTAGTATCCCTTTTTCCTTTAAAATACATAGATATTTATACATATATATTTAGTAACTCTTCATCAAATGCCGGAACTTTTTGCTCCCAGCAAATGTTGCTGAGATGGGAAATAAAGCCATTGAAAGATTTTTCTGAAAGAGATGTTGCTTTCTTCTAAATACTGGCTTACTCTGAAGCAGTTTGTGGCTCCTCACCTCATGCCATACGTTCTCTAGTCATGTGTTTTGAAACCCTTCTCTGGCATATGTTTTAGTTGTGTTCTTACTGCTTCATAGAGCTGTAATCCTTTTATAGTTTGCTGGGTTTTAAAATAACCCCATAAAGAGCCCAGCTTTACATTTACGAGCCAACTACGAACACGTTCAGGTGAGCAAAAGCTATTGATCTGAAACGGATTTGTTTCTATGTTTTAGAACAGTGTATTTGTTTGCTAGTGTTTTTTCATCATGATGATTTGATTTTTATTTTTTGGTACTGGGGATCGAACTCGGGACCTTGCACTTGTGAGGCAGGTGCCGGAACCACTGAGCTAAATCCCCAGCCCCATTATGAAGATTTTAAATATTGCTGGGGGGGTGTGTAAATATTGCCTTGGATGTAAAAAATATGGAAATACTTATAAAATGCTGAAGAAATGAAGAAACAGAAACTTGAGAGGTAACAGTGTTGGTTTTGTGACCTGTTACCTTGTTTTAATTTTTTTTCTTTGTGGTGCTGAGGATTGACCAGGGCCTTCACAATGGGCTGCATCTCCATCCCCCTTTTATTCTGAGACAGGGCCTCCCTAAGCCCGGCAGGCTGGGCTCTAACATCCCATCTTACTGCCTCAGCCTCTCAGAGTGCTGGGCTTACAGAACACACCCTGCATCAGCTGATCATGCATTATTTGAAAGATTTATTGTTTCTTATTGCTGAGCAAGGTTGTCACTGCCTCATGGTGTGTACAGTGTGGGGGGCAGACGCGCACAAGTGGACTCGGGGAAGCAGCGTCGCCAGGGAATACTGAAGGGGGAGGCGAGGGCAAGAAGTGGTGCTTGGGCGTCTGACACCTGATAGGTGCAGAGGGCTCAACTAGGGGAAATTTGGGTGCAGAAAAGAGGTTATTGTAGGGAGCTGTGATAAGGTGGGAGGTGATACTGAGCATTCATACACTGGAAAAACGAGTGTGGCTGGAACACAGGGTGCGTGTGTATTGGGATGCACGAGGGTGGTACAAAATGCAACTGGAAGAGTAAGCAGGGACCTCAGCGGATAAGCGGGTGTGGACTGCGCAGGTCTTCCAGGGTCCCCTACGAGCAAGGATCTTTGCAGTGCTGGGGGTGCGAGTATGGCGTGGCTAGAGTTGCGTTTTGCCAGGATTCTGCCTTGTTTATGGGAAACCTGCTGGAGAGAAATGAGGGGCCTTGGGGGGACTGGCAGCTGGAGATCTCTGAGAATTCTGCCAGCTGATGGGAGCAGCTGGGTGTGGGAGACCAGATGGCAGGAAGGAGGCCTGACTGGCGGCCTCGGGAGCACGGAGGGGAGAGGCCACGCGAGCGTGCAGACTCCCTGCAGGGAGACGTAGAACACCTGAGGGTGAGCTGTTTGCCCGGAGAAGTGGCGTGGAGGGAGGAGCCAGGTGAGTCCTGCGTGACTCTAATTGCCTGCGCCAGTGTCTGAGTGGACAAAGCGAAGATGCGCCGGCCCCTGGGGCTCTGTGCCGAAGGAGACATGGGCCGCCTGGCCTGCAGATTTTAACCTGTTCCGGTCTCTCTACTTTGATCTTCGTCACCCGCTGGTCCGGTTCGAGCCCGTAGGCTGATTCCTACAGCTGGGCTTGTGGGTAGGATGGAGAGAGGGGAGCTGATTCTGAAGGCGCTGAGGAGGACGAGGCTTTACCAGACTCCCCCTTGCTGATACTGAGGGAGGTAAAGTAGGATAGTGTCTGCGAAATTGAGGTGGGAGGTGTCACCGGCCATGGGATTAGGAAGACCTGGGGGGATTTGGGGCATCTGGCCCGAAACCACTGCTCACCCTCTTTCCAAGAGCAGCCGCTTTGGTCTGGAGAACTCGAGTATTTTCTTATTGCTGCCTGTGACTAGAGTGTGCAGCTGTTGTACGTTACAGCTCAGTTTAGGCAGCTGACTCCCGCTGCACGTTGCTTTGACGTGCTCGCTGAGTATCTTTTTGATCACTTGCCTTCTGCAGAGGGGACACACTCCAACTGACTTGAGAATAGGCCTGACAGTAAGGTTGCGGTTCACCAGTCAGCTGATAATTTTGGTTTATTGTGTCCATACTGCATTGTTTTAGTTACAGAAAATGCCTAAAACATGACCATTGTAGAACTTACATCTAGCTGAGGAAGACTCAAATATGAGTTCTGCATGGTCACTGCAGTGGGGAGATGCATGCGGGAGCTTTAGGAGCCCCAACCGAGGGCTTTGGCCTGAGAATTAGTTTCAGGTAGACAGTGGTCATTTCAGACATTATGTGGTGTTAGTTCCTGAACCAGAAGGCACTATGGGGATTGTCAAGCAAAGATATCTGGGAAGCACTAGTTGGTTAATTTGGTAGGGGAAAAATACCAAGGTAAAAATTAAAAACTTACAAGGGTTGAAGTTTCAGGTCAGTGAAGAACATAGCTGAATAGCCTTGAGCACTGCCTTGTGGAAATAATACAAGAAGCTGTCTCACTATGCTTTGTGACTGATCTCTTACAATCATACCGTGTAATTATTTAGTATGGTAGTTATATTTCATCAGCTATTATTTTCCTTTCAAAGTGATCTGGGAGAAGTAGCTGTAATTTGAAGGAGAAAATTTGTTTTCTAAGTGACTGATTATAAAGCATTTCAAGTGATGAGTCAGTAATTTATTTTACAGAAACCCCAGTGGAGCACTCAGGTGAAGCACTCAGACACTGTTTCCTCTGGTCTTGGGGTTCTCTGGAGTCCAAGTCTTTCAGTGGGCTTGTACCTGCCTGCATGCTTTTCAGGGGAACTTGCCAGACTCAGCTCTTTTGCTGTGTTTTGTGGTTATTCCTCTAAACTTTTTAGAAATTGATTTTAATGCGCTTTAAAAATGTTAGTATCCTTTTAAATAAGCTTGTTGGCGTTGAGGGGAGCAGCTCGGGGAACATTGGTGCTGGTTTTTCTGAGTAACCTTGGTGACCAAGACAACATAGGGTTTCTGCTGGAGAACACAAACACTATCTATGGACTTGTTATGTAGGTCTCTAATATATATATATATAAAATTTACATATAAGTGTCCACTGTGTGTATATATATTTAACTCGATCAGTTCCCAAGGGCTGGTTGCCACTCAAGCTGATTGTAAGTCAGTACAGCTGAGATCTGGATGTTTACCTGGGTACACGGTATAGATAACAAGAGGCAGAGGAATCTTCCATTAACCTAATTAACCCAAGTTGTTCATATGTCAGGCTGGTTGTAACTTGAGGGTCTACTGTGTGTATATATAAAATCTCAGTAGCTGTTTGTGGTAGCACATGTTGTAATCCCAGCTACTCAGGCTGAAGTAGGAGTATTGAAAGTTCAAGGTTCAAAAAAAAAGAACAAGGTTCACCTGGATCATTTAGCTAGACCCTCTCTCAATAAAATAAGAGCTAGCACAGAATTAGAGAAAACAACCCTAAAATTTGGAACAAGAAGAGACCTAGAATACCGCAGGCAATTCTGGGGAATAAAGGCAAAGCAGGGGGTATAACAATCCCTGGCTTTAACGTATACTACAAAGCTACAGAGTTAAAAACAGCATGGTATTGGCAAATGAACAGACCTGAGGATCATCCTCAGACTAGAAGATGCAGAAACAACTCCAGACATACTCAACCGCCTTTTGACAAAGGAGCCAAACACTTTCACTATAAGAAAGCCTCTTTAATAAATGGTGCTGGAAAAACTGGCTTCCACATGCCAAGGATTGAAACTAGACCTGTATCTTTCATCATGCACTAACCATCCATCCACCCACACAGCAAACATAAGGGAAGTCAACTAGGGGCAGACAGGACTGCTTTTGACCCCTGTTGGCCTTAGTTTCCCAAATTTGGGGGGCTCCAATGTCATCATACTTGATCTAAGGCACTTATGTATTACAACAAATAATGTTACTGCAATATTTTTTAGAAGGAACTTTATAAATTTTAAAAACTTATCTGGCTTCATGTAACTCAAATTGCAATTTCCTGTGATATTTAAAGTAACATCTTGAATCCTCCAGATGGTCTTGGGTTGAGAGGTCTTCCAATCTTTTTCAGTCGAACTGAAATCTTTATGAAAATTAAGTCAAAATGAATTTCTTCTAGTGGCATTCAGTTAAATTCATAGCAATTAAAAATAACAAGAGCTAGGCACCCTCAGTGATAGGGTGCCTAGAAGGCACTAGGCCCTGGGCCCAGCCTCTCTACAGCCCCCCATTGCACACACATGCGCACACATAGGCGTCAGTGCAACCGAAACTGAAGTGTAGTCCTGCTCCCTGCTTAGTGGAAGCTGTGCCGCTGTGTGGGAGCCATGGTGAGCTGCTGAGGGCAGCCGGGCCTCTGTGTTATCTTCCAAGGGGACAGTTGGAAAGGACTGTTTGAAATATTTCCTATTGCTGAGTGCATAGGAGGAAATATGATTATGGTATGTGTTCAATTCTGAGTCAGTTTGCTGAACTTTCTGAGTTTTTTGTTTGTTTGTTTGTTTTGTTTTAAGTACCGGCGACCAAACTCCGGTCCTTCTGCTTGCAAGGCAGGTGGCGGAACCACTGAGCTAAATCCCTGGCCCTTTTTTGAGATTTTTTAAAAATTTATTTTAAAAAGTTTTTAGTTTACTGAACTTTAAAATGTCAGCATCCCACTCATCAGCTATATTATGGAACTTTATAGACTATGATTTGATTTCTCAGGGAAGAATTATAGAACATAAAATTCTAAAGATACAAGATGTTGTTTTCAGGTTTTTATTTAAATTGTTACTTAAGCTGGCATTGTGGTGCACACCTGTAATCCCAGAACTTTGGCAGGAGGATCATTGTGAGTTCACGGCCAGTCTGGGCTACATAGGGAGACACCGTCTCAAACAAAAGCAGGGGCTGGGGATTTAGCTCAGTGGAGCCGCTGCCTGCCTTGAAAGCGCAAGGTCATGAGTTTGATCCCCAGTACCAGAAACAACAAAATAAATTGTTACTTAAAATTTATAATCTTGTGAAAGGGAAGAGTTTAGAAAATAACTGTCTCCACTTACTGAGTTTTCACTAAATGCCAGGTACTGTGCTATTTCATTTTACCTAATAGCTACCCTATGATGTAGTTATTATTAGTCCTAGTTTATAAGTCAGAAAACCTGAAGCTTAGGCAGACTGTTAACCCTAGCGTGTCAGCATCGTTGGGCTAAGATGTGCCTAGTAGGTCAGCAAAGGATGCTTGTGGCTGTATCTGTGGGCCATGGAGGTGTGACCTTGAATACTGTATGCCCCGGTGCTTTCCTCTCTGGTGCTTTTTCTCTGCCCTGCTTCCTCGCTGCAGTGAACTAAGCAGCTTTGCTTTACCATGCCCTTCAACCATGAGGTTTCTGCCTTGGAGCCAGGAAACCATGGACTGGATTCCTTGGAACCATGAGCCAAACTGAACTTCTTTAAGTTGTGGGTGTTGTATATTGTGTCTCAGTCACAAAGAAGCTAATTAAAAAAATTTGGTAGAGTGGGGTCATTGCTAGGACTATGCCTGACTGTGGTTCAGAAGCCTTTGGAGCTGGTTTGCAAGGGGAGATTGGAAAGGATTGGAGATGCTGGCTGGAGAAGCCCTAGAATGCTGTAAGTAAAGCCTGGTGGATAGTTCTGGTCAGAGCTTAGAGACCAGAATGCTGATAGGAATGCAGACAGTAAAGGCCAGCCTCGAGATCAGTTAGGATCAGGGACTCTGTTGGATTTGGACTAGAGGCCATGTGTGTTATTCTCTGGTAGAAAATTCATCTGCATTTTGCTGATATCCTTAGACTGCAGGAAATAGATTAAAGATGCTGGACTTGCCAAGTGTGGTGGCGCATGCCTTGGGAGGCTGAGGCAGGAGGATTGCTCTGAGTTCGAGGCCAGCCTGGGCTACATGGTGAGTTCAAGGCCAGTCTGAATAGAGCAAGACCTTGTCTCCAAAAAAACCCCACAAAAACACCTTAAAAAAGGGTGGTGGACTTATTACCTAATTTGACAGAGGAAACTTCAAGACAGTCCAAGCTGTGGCATGGATACTGCTGGCTGTTAAAGAATCAAGGGGAGTTGTTCACTTGGAGAAATAACTGTAACAACTGATATTACACCACCAGAATCCTCAACAGTTATCTGCCAATCTATGGGGTGCTGTCAGGGATTGAGATGCCAGTTTCTAGGGCCAGCTATGAAGGAGGAGGCCTTGAAGCTGGTGTTGGTGGCATTAGAAGATGGCTCTGCTCTGTCAAGGAAAGTTTTGGTACTTTTTGTTGTGCAAAGAATCAAAGGCAAAAGACAGAGCAGGAAAAGTTTGAAAAAACTTTTAAGTTTGGCCTAGAAGGAGCCATATTTTTTAAGTTGGGGCCACAGGAGATATGGCTACTAAAGAGATTAACACTAAAAAGAAATCAAGTACTTTATACAAGGACAAGAAGAAGCCTTGAAGGGATCTCATGATAGAATGTCATTTTTTGTTGTTTGGGTTTTTGGGGTTTTTTTGGTACCAGCGATCGAAGGCATCTCCTGAATCAAGACCCTACCCACTCTTGGCAAGCTCGAGTGCAAAAGTGTCGGTTTCCATTTGAGAAGAGGATGCTTGGGACCCCTGCTCCAGAGGAGCCTCTTGGGGAAAAGGTTCCCTGAGCTTCATTTCACTGTGGCCCGCCATCCAGGAACTCGGAAGCTGCCGCAGCCATGGTCCCAGGGGGCCTGGGAGCTGCTTCTATGGACCACAGATCTTGCATTGTCTGCAGCGCAGATGGAAGAGTTATGGTTGGTGAGGCTTCCACCCAGATTTCAAAGGCCAGACAAGGAGCCTCTGAAAAGGCAGTCCATGAAGCAAGCTATGGGAATGAAGCCAAAAGTGTAGTAGAGAACCCCAGAGGTCAGAGCCAGGAGCATGGGATGTCTGCTGAGGAAAGCTGCAGGCCACGAGAGAACCAGCCCGAAAGAGGTGACTGGTGAGTTGCAACCAGCAAGGCCGTAGAAGTGGAGCTCCCTGTGCCACTTGGGGCTCACGTTTTACCACTGTGCCTGGATCCTGGGCTTAGATCTACAGGATGTAACGTTTGCCTTGATGGTTTCAGTCTTACTTTGGTCTGATTATTTTTTTATCCTCCTGTGTACCTTCCTTTTGGAATGAGAATGTTTGCTTAGTGCCATTATATCTTGGGATTATGTAAATTATTTTTGACTTTTATGGAGGTTCACAGCTAAGAGTTTGCCTTGAATCTAAAGAGACTTGGACTCGGACTTTTGAAAAGTGCTAGAACTGTTGAGGCTTTGGGAGAGGGATTATTGCATTTCTGGTTGTACACGGGATAGTTGCATTGTATTAGGCAAAATTATGAACTAGCTCTTGCCTTGGAGATTTAAGGCCATGCATTTGGGTGTGAAGTTGACAGGTGGTGAATTGTGACTTCAGTCCTGATACGTTGTCTTTATTGGATTGAGAATCGGCCAGCAGATGAGTCACGTGTGCCGCTGGGTGAGTCTGGGTCATGGACGTGTGACCTTGGGTGCTGTGTATGACCCCTGCCTGCTCCTTTCTGGCAGTGCTCTGTTCTTCTCCCCTGCTGCCAAAAACTAAGCTGTGACAGTCCTACCTTGGGGCCAGCTGATGATAGACTGTTACTCGAAACTGTGGGCCAAATTAAACCTCTCCTGTAGGTTACGGATGTCGGGTACTGTGTCAGCCACAGGAAGCTAATGGAAGGGCCAAGTAGCCTGGGCTGGCTTATCCAGTAAGCAAGTGGCAGAATGGGAGTCGAATCTCAGGCTGCTCAAAGATGTTTAATCACTGAGCTATTCTGTAGGTAAAATTAAAATTTCACAGCAAGGGACCTGATGTAGATTAACTTCATGTCTCCTCTTCTGCTTCTGCAGAGGTGTTTGGGGGAGGCCCACTGTGTGTGCAGTGTGGTGCTGCTAGGCTGATGTGGACCATGGAGAAATGAGTTTTTTTGGCGGGGATGGGGGGAAGGGTCTTGCTATGTAGCCCAGGCTGGCCTCAAACTTGTGGGATCCTCCTGCCTCAGCCTCTCGAGTGCTGGGATTACAGGTATGTGCCATGAGGAAGTCTTGCACCTGTCTGGTCCAGGCATATGCAGCAGTGATTTAATTAGCAGAGCAAGAAATCCTAGTAGTTATTGTGTGTGGGGACTTCCGGGAGAACTCATCGTTTTTAATAGGCTCTTGAAAGATGGGTAGATTTCTGCTGGTAGGGGCATAGGAGAGGCTATTATCTCTTGAGGGATGTGTGAGAAAAGACAAAGAAGCTAGTGAGAGGTGGGGCTGGGCAGGTAAGTTGTCCAGAAGAGAAAGTTTTTGAGTGCTGAAATAAGTAATTTGACCTTTATGGACTGGGCAGTTCTATTCCCATTAATACAAATTTACCAGCGTCTGTTCAATCCCTGTTTTTGTATTTGGAAATCAACAAAGCATTCTTTTGAGAGTTGCATGGCTTTTTTCTCACCAAGGACAGCAGCTCTTAACAGCCTTTGTTGCTGAGACTCCTGCACATCCGAGGTCTTGGCTTTTGTCCTGGGAATCAGGCACAAACGGAAGAAAACCATCTTTCTGAGACATTGATTCCCCAATGTAATTTGATATGGTTTGAGGTGCCACATGGAACTGTCTGGCACTTGGAACTATGTTAAGAGTGGTAGGCTGCTTATTTGGCATTAGAGGTTGAATATCCCTGATCCAGAATGCTTGGGACCAGAAGTATTTCTGATTTGGGTTTTTTTTTTTCAGATTTTGAAATATGTGCATTGACTTTGCTGGCTGAACATCCCTAACCCACACATTCAGAACCTGAAGCTTTTTGAGGAATGTAAACTCTGGAGTTGCTCTGGGGGAGAGAACCAGAATTCCATTCCAGCAAGGATACTACATTTGAAACTTGGCGGCTACTTTGAATATTGAGCACTTTCTTGCTCTTGTAGTTGGCATGTGCATACCACTGTGACTGGCACACACTGCAGTTCTGACTAAAAGGTTATGGAAAGGATAGTGACTAAAGTATTGCAAGATCTTTTGTTGTTACTACATTAATATTACTGCAATAAAACAAGCAACCAGTTTTTAACTATTGAATTAATGCCATTTGTTTTTCATTATCTGTTTTCACCATGAAGAGATAAAAGTTTTTTGGGTTTTTTTTGCTTAAATTCTTTTATTGGTACATTTTAGGTATACGGTACGTTTACATGTATCATTGGGTTTTTTGTCCCTGTACATGATGGATCTTGGTTCTTATTTTTTCCCCATTACCTGTGCGCCCTCCTCCCCTTCCCTATTTACATGGACTTTGTTTCCATTTTATTCCTTTTTTCATAATTTTTCCTTTCCTTTCTTTCCTTTCCCCTTCCCCTCCCCCTCCCACTTCCCCTACCCCTTTGGACCTTTTCTTCCTGTTTCAAATTATCACTTATTCGTTTTAATCCTTATTTATACTTTTCAGTTTCTCACACTAGAGAAACTATTCAGTATTTACACATGTGTGTCCTATTTGTTTCACTTAAGAGGATGGCCTCAATATGCATCTATTTAGCTATAAATATCTCTAGTTTCTGGTTCTTTATGGCTGAGTAGTACTCCATTTAAAAAAAAACAACACATTTTCTTGATCCAGTCTCCAGTTGATGGGAAACTGGGCTGTTTCCAAGCTTTAGCTATTACAAACTGTGCCGCTATAAACATGGGTGCACCTATATCGCTGTGGTATGATTCTTTTAATTCTTTGGGGAAGATCCCCAGCAGGGGAATAGCTGGGTCAAATGGGACCTCTAGTCCTAGTTCTCTGAGGTATCTCCACACTGACTTCCACAGTGGTTGCACCAGTCTGCACTCCCACCAGCAGTGGAGAAGGGTTCCTTTCTCCCCACAGCCCCGCCAGCATTTGTTATTGATTTCATGATAGCAGCCGTTCTTTCTGGGGTGAGGTGGAATCTGTGTTGTTTTCTTTTTCTTTTTTTTTGGTGCCGGGGATCGAACACCTCGTGACCTTGCACTTGCGAGGCAGGTGCCAGAACCACTGAGGTAAATCCCTGGACCCCCATGTTGTCTTCATCTGCATTTCTCGAATGACCAGTGATGTTGAACATTTTTCATATGTTTATTTGCTGCGTTTACTTTGTCTGAAAAATGTCTGTTCATTTCAGATGCCCATTTTTGAACTGGGTCTTTGAATTTGGAGGGTCTGATTTTTTTTTTTTTTTTTTTTTTTTGGTACCTGGGATCGAACTTAGGACCTTGAGCTTGGGAGGCAAGCGATGGAACCACTGAGCTAAATCCCTGGCCCTGTACTTAAACATTTTTACAAAGGAAAAATTAATGAAATGTTTTTGTATGCCAGGAAGCTACAGTCTGTATCTTGAAGCTGTACGTGGAATATCTGATGCGGCTTAAGCTGTCAGGGTGGTTACTAATGAGGACATGGCCAGTTTCTCACTCTCAAGTGCCTCATGAAAAGGGAAATTTACTTTGGTTTTGTCTACTGACCTTAATACATCCCAGTTGTAAAACTGCAGTTAAATTATACAAAACTTCTCATTTAAAAAGATGACTCTTTCTCTGTAGTAATCTGAGAATAGCCAAATGGGCCCTCTTATGGTATGGAACAGTGGTGGGGACCTATGGTGCTCACGTTGCAAAGGGCTCTTTGTTGTCATTGAAAGCTCTAAAAGATTTGCCATTGCTAGTCCAGAATAAGGTTTCTTTCAGCTAGTTGAAACCTTTATAAAGTTTTTAAAAAGATTGTCTAATGATGCTAATGAAAAACAGAATTTGACGTGAAATAAGGCACTTACATTTTTAGAAAAGACGTCACCTTGGTAATAAGAGAAATGCAAATTAAAAAGCAAGATTCCAATTTTTGCCTAATAAAAAATATTTTGTTTTTGGTGCTGGCAATCAAACTAAGGGCCTCATGCATTCTAGGCAAGCACTTTACCACTATTGAATTACATCCCCAGTCCTTCCCCAAAGTATTTTTTTAGTGGCAAAATTAAGTATTGACCTGGGAATGAAATGATGGTGGGCCAGATGTGGTGGCACATGTCTGTAATCCCAGCACTTGGGAGGCTGAGGCAGGATGATGACTGCAAGTTTGAGGTCAGCCTGGGCTACATAGATCAAAACCAGCTTGAACTAAATAAGGAGACCCTGTCTCCAAAACAAAACAAAAATCAGTAACTTGGGGAAAGTTTCACAGTTTGAGGTACACTGTTGAGTGTGTTTATGTATAAACGTGCATGTAGACGAACAGTCATGCTGTATGTACATATATATGCATATATACAAGTTACCAATTTTGTAATGTATTTGCATAGAATATAAAAATCATCAAAATGTTTTTAAATTTTTTCAAAATTTCTTCAGTAACTTTTATTCTATAATCAGAAAGGAGTGGATAAACATCAGTATAAGCTAATGATTTTGAACAAATGGCCCTAAGTAGTTCACTCCAGTAGGCTAGAGTTTTGCCATGAGAATCGTAACACATTGCACTAAGGGGAAAGGGACTTTTGGTAGCATCTAATGCTTGTCTTGACCTTGGAGCCACTCATAAAGCATTTCACACAGGTCAAGTTTTGCATTTAGAGGGCCAGTGTGAAGTCCTGAGAACTTGCATCTGGGATTACCTGGCCCGTCAGCTTAGATGAATTCTCAACTTTGATGAGGACCTCAAGCCTATGAAAATACTTCTGAATTGTGGAATAAGTGATGTGAATAGGTAAAATGAGAAGAGCACTAAATGAGGAAGCTGTTCCAGAAGGGAAGCTTTTAAACATGGAGAAAGAGCGGCCTCCTCATCCCTGGCTCCCTGTGCTGCTTGGCCTGCCTGGCTGCAGGGCTGTGACCCGGGTTGGCCCGGCCCCCTACTCCCAGCTCAGCTCCAGAGAGCGGCTAGTGGGGAGGAGCTGCTTCCAGAACGACTTTGCTCCAGACACCCAATATCATGTTTGTTCAGTTGGCTTGTCCAAACAGTTTCTCTGTGTTTTCACCAGAGTAGTATCAACTTAGCATGAAGATTAAAGCTCTTCTCCATCTGCTTTATCTGCCGTCCTTAATTAGAACCTGATGACAGAAATCAACTTTGATTCAAGGCGCATTGTTGCCGGAGAATCTCATTATTGCAGAAATTTTTTTAATTAACCACATGGATTCTGAGCATCTGTATGGCAGAAATGTTGGGAGAAAGCGATAATGTTCCTTATTTAGACATTGATTCAGCAGATGCTGTGTGTGCTGCCGTGGGGCATTTAAAGTTGCCCAAAGTCTCGGAGAGGAACTGATGTACGCACAAAATAGTTTAAATGCAAATATGCGGGCAGTGCTCTCAGGGATGAAGTGTGTGGGATTTGGAGGAACAGTTATTTCTGGTCTTGCATTGTATCTTCTTTAGTTCTCTTTTAGAACGTAAACAAATAGGCCTATTTACATGCTTTATCTTTAAGAGATGAAGGAAAGAGGCAAATATTTGTATGTAAATCCTTTAGATGAGCAGTGGATTTCAGAGTCACATAATTTTTTTGTTTTTCTGTTTTTTTCTTTTTCTTTCTTTTTTTTTTTTTTTTTTTTTGACAGGGTCTCTCTATGTAGCCCAGGCTGGCCTCAAACTCCGTGATCTTCCTGCCTCAGCCTCCTGAGTGCTGGGATTATAAGCGTGCACCACCACGCCCAGCTTTTTTTTCTTTTTCTTTATTCTTTTTTTTTTTTTGAGAGAGGGTCTGTCAGGATCCTCCTGCCTCCTGAGTGCTGGGATTGGAGTGAGCCATGTCTCACACAGCTTGTGTATCTACAAATATTTACTGAGCCTACCCTCAAGGAGCTTGCAGTCTACCAACTTTGATGAAATGTAATTTTATGAGTAAAATAAGGTAATATTAAAATTACTTTTTTTTTTTTATGGTACCAGGGATCGAACTTGAGACCTTGCGCTTGCAAGGTAGGCAGTGGCACCACTGAGCTAAATCCCCAGCCCTAAAATTACTTTTAGACATAGTTAATGGCCATTTAGATATTAGGAGTGGAGAAAGTGGCGGAGCAGTCGTGGTGCCTGGAGTCCTGTAATTAGCCAACTGGCCGAGTTAACTGGACAACAGCCTGTGAGGCAGTGTGTGTGGTATGAGCAGAACAGCCAGGCTCTGCTGCTTGCTGGTTTTGAACTTCGGTAAGTTTTACTTTGCCTTTCTGTTCTGCAGTCCTCCCATCTTTAGAATACCCCCTGATATTCCTGGTAAGAGTAAACGAGATAGTATGTCTGCGGTTTGGAGTTAGCCCTCCACCACTGAGGTGTTGAATTTTAATGGCCAATGGAGTAATAAGGGTTGAGCCTGTCAGGGCTACAGGCTGCAAGGGCTCCTCCCTTGTGTGTGGGGCTGAGACCCTTATGAAGGAAGCTGCATTGTGGTGGTTGAGGACTCAGCCTATGCCCTTCACTGGGCCAAATGTGCTGCTCTCTTGGTCTTGGACTTCCCAGCCTTTAGAAGCAAATTTCCATTTTTTAGAAATTCTCCAGTCTGTCGCCTTCTGTTACAGCAGCACAGACTAAGACCTCTGCAAAACACCTGCTGCGTGGTTCTCAATAATGATGCATGTGGGCCGGGGATTTAGCTCAGTGGTTCTGCTGGCTGGCTTGCAAGCACAAGGTCCTGAGTTTGATCCCTGGTACCAGAAGTAATGATGTGTGCACCCCTCTATCTGAGCAGTGTGGAGGAGCAGCCACTAACAATGAAAGTTAAAAATGCTTTAGGTTTCTCCACCTGCCTTGAAAGCGGAAGGTCCTGAGTTTGATCCCCAGTACCAAAAAAAAAAAGAAAAAAAAAGAAAAAATGCTTTCAATGCCCCCCTCACCAAGAATCTTACTGTCAAAGGGGGATGGCTTATATTTAATCACAGGTGTTTCTTATGGATGTCTTATTTGGAAATCTGAATCAGAAGGTAGTTGGCAAATTAGTTTTTCTCTGAGTTGTGTGCCTCTTTCCAGGGATGTAATTGGCTGACTAGTTTAATAGTTGCTGTTTTTCTCAAAATTGAACTTGTTAAAGTCTCAGTAACTACCATACCTCATTGAAGATTATCAGTGGTGC